ACAAACGTGTAAGAACCATTATTACTAAGTACACATGTATTATTGTACATACTTGCAAGCAAGTCTAAGTGATTCCAAGTATAATCACAACTGAACAATCATATGGCCTTCAAAAGGTAAGCATAACCATGAACAAAAATAGAACACACGTTTATGAGAGGAGTCAAAGCAATTACTCCATGAACATAAAAAAGAACTTACAAACCATCACCATTTCATTCTCAATCAGAAGGTCACAATGAAGTAAAATTAAAATCTTCTCTTTGGAGATGCATGTTTTTTTTATTTTAATAAGATAAAAAATGAAAACACATGCGTCTTTACCCATAAAAGAAAGGGAATCACAAAGCCTTATAAACATAAAGAAATGCCAACGATGTTGAAATCCGTAGAGAGCAAGGTTCAAAATAATCCACATAAATTGTGACAAAATTGTGTCGAAAGAAATGTATCCATTCATCATGTTCGTAACACAAATCCACGAAATAAAACCTCATATTTTAACAAAAGATTTTTTTTTAATCCGGAAAACAACCTTTCTTATAAAAAAAAAATCGGAGAGAACAAGGTTATTAGAAGAAAACGATTCATCGACTACCCATACATCTCTTCCAAAACTGCCCAAGCTTTCTCAAAAGAAATTTTAAATGTACTTTAGAACATTCACAAGAAGTCTATTCTATAAAAGACTCATCCAGAAATAGTGGCTATGTAAAAAAAAAGAAAAGTTTATAACCTTAAGCCATCTCAAGAACACATACAAGGAATTATTTTCCATGAGAATGATTTTTTTTTTTAAACAAATGCTCGACATCCCTATGAGAAATAATATCCCATCGAAACAATCATGTATTATAAACATTTAATCTTATCAACGATCCTAGGCTTAAGATTCACCAATATTCATCATAAACAAAATGCCGAACATAAGATTCATGAGTTGTAATCAAAGCCAAGTTTATCTTAAGCCAAAGCCTCACTACTCTCTAAAACATACATTTGGTTGGAAAGAAAAATTGCCGAAGAACACGCTCAAAGGCCACCAAAGCTCTCCATAAGCAAAGTGTAAACCATATGAAAACTTATGAAATCACTTGGAGAAAATCACTATAGAAGCTAAAACTTCTAGAAATCGCATATCCCCGTGAAAGCTTTAGATGGGTATTTGAAAAGGGCTATTTGAAACTTATCAAAAGTTCATTACCAACATTTGTAATCATAAGAGCATTAGCCATTTCAATAGGGAGATTTGGGACGAACTTCGCAAACATAAACATACCCAAACTTATAAAAGAAGACATGTGAAACTTTTATACCTAAATATAGTCACACAACATTTGGTTAAGTGGCTCCACATGTTTCATGAATCACCCACAAAATATCTTAAGGATTTCTCAAAGGCATTTGCTAGAACGCTTTGCGTGCACACCTTGATAAAATCTCAAAATAACTTTTCATGCATTTTTACACCTAAAGCTCTAAATCAAATGCCATAAAACAACTGTGAATTCACAAGCTAATCGCCTATCTCAGAAGCATAATAAATCAACACATTAGATAGGAATGTGGATCAACTCATGATTCTAAAAAAAAACTATGCAAGCTAAGAGTAGATGCATTCACTAAAAAAAAAAAAAAAAAAAAAAAAAAAAAAAGCAGAGGTGTGATGACATACACACCCCAAAGCTTTATAAAGAAAACTCAAAAAAAAAAAAAAAGGAATAGTATGAACGTTGCACTGGCTTATCCTCCCAACCATTAAACCCTCCACAAATTATTAGAAGCCAAGATACAGGAGGAGGGCTAAGAAGAAGAAAAAGACAGAGAAGAAGAAGAAAAAAGGAAAAGAAGCTACCTGCGGCCTTGGAGGAAATCAATCGGCCAAGGAGTCTGGGCGGCCGAATCGGGTCCAGGCGTGCGGAGTCGGGAGAGGCAGATCGGGTTCGGAAGAAGGGCTGTCGGGGTCAATCCAGGCCGTGGGAGCAGGGGAAGTCGGGTCAGTCCTGGCTCGTGTGAAGCAGAGAGGGGCGACGTGCTGAGCGAACCAAAACTGAGAGAGAGGGAGGGCGTTGGCGTCGGCTGGATTCCGCGAACACTAGGGAGAGCGAGAGAGAGAGGGGGCGACGGGATTCGTCCGCCTGGCTCGAGAATGGGAGCTCGGGATCGGCCCGCCTGGGAGCTTCTACCGAGAGTGAGAGGGGAAGAAGGAGCTGAGAGAGAGAGAGCCGGGGGAAGGGAGAGTATGCCGAGAGAGAGATCAAATCCTGGAGAAAAATCGAGAGGGCGGCCTCGGTCTGAGTCTTGGGAGCGCGAGAGTGAGAGTGTCGTAGCCGAAGGCTTCGTTTTGAGTGAATCAAATCCATTGTCGAAAGAGGAAGCCCGCCCTTCTGTCGTCTCGCACTACAGCTTCCGAAAATTCCATAAACAGCTTTCTTCGCTGCTCGAGGCCTGCCCAAGCCACAGAAGATCATCTCGAAGCGGGCTTTCGGCTGAAAAATGGATCCCGTTTGATCGCAGCCGTCGATGCGATTTCCTGATTTAGAAGAGAAACTCAAAATATTTAGAAAGTCAAATGGCCATTACTAGGATTTAATTAAGCTGAATCAGATCGAAATTGGCTAGGATTAGGTTACCTTCGAGTCCGAATTTGACTCGACTCGAACCAATTCAAACCCGAGCCGACGCAACGAAATTAAATTATAAAATTAAACTTAAAATAACCATTGATTTAAATTGAATCGGGCTCGACACGACCAGAACAAATTAATCGAACCCAATTGAATTTGATCGAGTCCAATTCGGCTCAATTCGAGTCAACTCGAACTCGAATTAAACCTGACAAAATTCAATTAAGTTGATTGGAGGTGCTCGAGGGAACTCGAGCGAAAAACGGGGTCAACATCTGGATGTGAACTCGCGACCCTCACCGGCTGCTTCGTTGATGTTTGACTTCGCTCGTTGGACTACGTTCTCTTCCCGTTGGATCGAAAGTTACAACATTTTGATTAGATGCAGCAACGGGAGTTCGCTGGTTGTGAACTCGAATCAATGTTTGGCTCCTTCATTGTTGTTCAACTTTGCTCCTTGGACGACGTTCTCTTCCCGTAGGATCGGAAGTTACAACATTTTGATCGGATGCAACGATGGGAGTTCGTTGGCTGTGAACTCGAGCCTTCGCCGGCTCGTTTGTTGATGTTCACTTTGCTCCTTGGACGACGTTCTCTTCTCGTCGGATCAAAAGTTACAACATTTTGATCAGAAGCAGCGACGACAGTTCACTGGCTGTGAACTCGAGTCAATGACGTGAAGCAAAGCAATAAACGCTTTTTTCGGGTCATTCCCGTGTTTCCAGGTCAACCCGTACCCAACTCTCTTCGGGTTGACAAAGGCCAGAGGAATCTGACCTTCATCGTTAGCTAACTAAGGTCCCTTTTAACCTACATCGCCCACCGACTATAGTACATCTAGCCTCCATCGCCTGTCGACTAGGGTCCTCTGACCACTGTTACACCGTATCCCCCCATTATAATCCCTTCGATCACCCTCACCCATCAACTACGGTCCCTCCGACCTCTATCACCTGCCAACTAGGTCCCTTTGACCATCGTCGCCTACCAATTATGATCCTTTCGACATCCGTTGTCTGCTGACTATGGTCCCTTCAACCATCATCGTCGGTTGACTACAATCCATGCGACCTTCATTACCTACCGACTACGATTCCTCTGACCTTTGTCATAAGAGAATGATCTGTTTGACCTTAGTTTCTTAACTACGATCCCTTTGACCTATGTCGCCCGACTACAGTCCCTTTGGCCACCGCTCTTCATCGGCCTCTATCACCTGATAATAATCCTTTGTCATCAGACAATGATTCTCTCTACCTCAGTTGCTCGACTATGGTCCCTCCAACCTCAGTCACCGATCGTCCCGATCGCCCTGGACGATTCCCAGAACTATTCTCAGGCCGATATTTTCTACAGTGCCGATCGGCCTGGACGATGTCCAAATCGGCCTGGACGATGTGTACAAAAAATCACCTGGAGCAAAACTGGGCAAAATCTGGAGCAAACTTTCCACTGATCGTCCCAAGACGATCCAGATCGTCCTGGACGATCCTGGAGCAGATTTTTGATATTACACAACCTCAGTCACCTGATTATAGTTCCTCTAACCACTATCGTCTGCCAATTACGATCTCTCTGACCACCATCCCCTATTGATAATGATCCCTCCAACCTCTATTACCCGACAACGGTCCCATATGCCTCAATCGTCAGACTACAATACCCCCAACCTCCATTTTCCAACAACGATCTTATCGACCAAACGAACATGCCAACATTCCTTTGAGAATATAGCTCATGTCACTTGATTCTTTCAACTCCAATCATGTAATATGTTATGTATGATGTTTAATGTATATTTGTTATATTGAGTCATGCCTTCCCCCAAGGAAGAACATAATTTGTAATCAACTACAAACACTTGTATAATCATTTTAACTGGATCATGCCTAATGTTTTTTACCCTTTTGAAGATTTTTCCTTAAAAATCTTGGTGTCTCTTATAATTGAACATCTCTCTCTTATCTGTATATGTATTAAATTTTCATGAAAAATTGGCATGCTAAACTCTATATCTATCTACCATCGTGAATGTTTCGACACACAGCAAAAATAATTAATTTGAATTAATTTGTGCATTATTTTTATTCTAACCCCATGCTCTAGCAAGTATATTTTAAACCAGAATTATTATGCATGAATAAATCAAAATATCAGAATATGATATTTACCAATTATGATTTTAAGAACAATTCTTAAAATTTATATTAATAATTTAATATAATCTTTTTTATAATTATTTTGCGTAATAAAGTCATCAAATTTATCTCCAATTAAAAAAAAAACTATAATTAGAGTTTCATACAATTATTTAAAAATTTAAAAAAATTTATTCATTTTTGTGTGTATATATATATATAGAGAGAGAGAGAGAGAGAGAGAGATCGATCTCAAAGAAATTTGATAACTAGGCAAAAGTAGAAGAAGCGCATCGCGGCCTAGGGTTTGTGTTTTTGCGTCTCCAGCAGTTCGTTTTTCTTCTCTGCGCCTACGCTATTGATCTGATCGACTGTATTGATAAAGCGGAGATGCGACTTACGCTTGAGTTTGGGTAGTCATTTCTCTCCACTTCTATTTTTGTGGTTTTTTTTTTCTGGACGTTTTCCTGAAAACTACTCGTCTATTCCTGAAGATCCAAGTTATTGCGTCTGAATTATTCCTTTTCTTATGTAGCGGCGGCCTCGATCTTCTTTGCCAATCTGTAAAAATCCATCATGTTGATGTTACTCCTAACGTTGAAAACGGGAAGGTAATTTTTTATCCCGTGCAGTGCTTCAAGCTGGATTTCCTATCTCCAGTATTTAATTTATTCTCAATCCTCAAATACATTGGCAGTTAACATTGCGTGATCTGTTGTCTTGGGTTCGGACTAGTTTGATTAAAGAAAGGCCAGAAATGTTCATGAAAGGGGACTCCGTGTATGTTCGTTCATCTTTAAGTTTTGCAGTGTTTATTAAGGATAGTCAGATCCCTATGTTTTTTCTAAGTTCTACCAATCTTTTTGGTGTAGGAGGCCTGGCATTCTGGTTCTAGTTAATGATTGCGATTGGGAATTATGCGGCGGTCATGATACGGAGCTAGAAGAAAAAGATGTGGTGGTATTCATTTCAACCTTACATGGCGGGTAATTTTTCAGATGTCTGGACTAGTGTATGTTTAAATGTTAAGAGTTCCTGATCAGCATTTATCTAATCTCTTGAGATTGTAAAACAGTGGGTTGATTAAAGCTTGAAACTTTTAGTTCAGGAGACTTTCCTGATATGTAACTTGTTTTCATCTGATGTAGACTTTTTGAAATAAATCAGTAAATTATACAAGTCGATGTGTCTTTTCTGCTGGTTATGATATTTCTACTCAGTTTCCTCTCCTTTATCTTTTGGGATAGTTTTCGTTTTTGTTTAGCTTTTTGCATTCTAATGAAATTTACAGTCTACAGAAGTGATTTGTTCGAAATTACCATTTAAGATAACATGTACTGTTCTGTGGCTAGTATGTTTATCCAGAAGCGTACACATTGTTTTTAAGGTTTAGGTTAAGTAAATGAAATCCAATTACCTTTTGGTTTGTCGAATAGGAATCCGATTGATTATGCTAATATTCATGAGAATGATTCCTCATACTTGAGCATTTTGTTTGTTTAACTAGCTAACAAAATTAACATAAATTCTTTGAATTTCCAGTCCATGGGTATTTAAACCTTATCATACATCAAAGTTTTTAATTTTAGTTTAAGAGATTCTTCTCAATTCCAATGAGAAGGAGAAACATAAGTTTGAACTTGAGGGCACTTTATCAATAAATTGATGAAGCTGCAGATTATATTCAGATATTGATCCATATTTCTGTTTGTGTTATATCTGAGGTTTTGAATTTTTTTGCTTGGATTTGATTAAGGCTTCGTTTGGGACGGCTTTCTTGCTGCTTAAAGCAGTTTTCTAGCATAAAAATTAAATTTTTTTGTACTAGAAAGCTGCTTTACTAAGCAGTAAGAAAGCCGTCCCAAATGAAATCTAAATGTGTTCGGTAATCTTTTCATAGCGATCGTGTTATCTTGTGCACGACATAACCTTTCGTTCAGTACACCAGTGGAGAACTAAGTCTTGATTTTGTTGCAAAATCATAGCTAATGTTTTATAGCTTGACTAACATGTTAATACCTTGTTTTGATTTAACCTTGGGTTTGAAAGTTATGGCATTTAACAGGCTTTATTCAACTGTGTTTTTGCTTCATATGATCAAGATGCGAAGGCTTATGCTTAAAAATCAATCTGATCTTGACCTGTTTGGCCAGAGTCCACGCTCTGTCAGTATTCTCTATTAGACCAGTACTCAGGTTGGGTTGGAGCTATTATTCTGTACGGACACCGGACGGAAGACCGTCCGGTTAAGCACTAGGTACCCAGCGGTACCGAGGGGTATCGAGTGTGGGTACCGAGTTGGGTACCCAGCAATAGGGTGACGTGGCTCATTTTTATTAGTCTCCGGATGCCCTCCAAACTCCGCACATAATAATAAATCGGTTGGTTTGAGGTCAATCTGAATCAAATTTGAATCTCTCACCTGATTAACTTTTTTTATTATTCAGGGTTTATGCTACGGCATTGATGATGGTGATGTTTTTCTCTTAAACATTGGTGAGAGAGAAGAGAGCATAACAGAGAGGTTGGAGACTAATGAGAAAGAGAGGATGGTATTCAATGCAGTAAATGGATGATGATGGAAGATTAATGGAGGTGGTGGCATGTTAGAGGAAGAGAGGCATCAAAGGGAAGTTTGGATTGCTGCATAAGAATCTTGAAAATGAGCAATATGTAAGGGTGCTGCGCTACCTCTCTTACTCTAAAATTGTAGGTACATGGTATCAATGGAAGTTCTTTGTAGCGAGAAATTATTCTGTGCGGAGACCAGCCGGAAAATGTTATCCTGAGACCAACCAGAATGTGCCACATCAGCAGTACCGAGCCGCGGTGCCGAGCACAGGGGTGACGTAGTGCATTTTAGTTAGTTTCCGAATGGCGTTTGACGTCCGCATAGAATAATTTTTCCTTTGCAGCTGATAGAGTGATGATTGAATGGATGGGACTTGAGGAATCTTTAGAGAGATGACAGCCGAGAAGGAAAGGAAGGGATGATTTGACGGGCTATGCCATAAAAACGAGGTTATTAAGGCTATTTGATCAGGATTGCTGGATTCAAACTAGTAGTTCTAGTTAAACTACAAGAAAGACATTCTATTTTGGTCTGTGTAACCTTTATTAGGCTAGCTTTGGGTCAGGGGTGAGCTCTGTATTGGAATCATTTAGAGTAAGTGTTGAGGAAAACACGCTGCAGGTTTCTTCTTTGTTTTGGACCACTTGATTCTATATTTACAAAGCAAAAAGCTTGTTTGGGATAAGTAGGGCAGGTCCAACCTATATTAGAAGGCATCCGAATCTAGCATTTGGCTTATTTTAGCCATATTTTTTATTGTTAAGTTTAACTCATGTAATACAATGCATTGAGCGCCAAAGTTGTCAAATGGGCTAAAGCTCATATCAATTTCTATAAAACTACCTTATTATGCACTAATTTTAAATAATAAATAGAGCCCACATTAAGGTTCTGTGGCTTTTGGCCTTTGTTTTTCCTGCCTAAATGCAATTATTAATATATTCCTATTGAAAAAAAAGAGAATTGCAATGATGGCTTAATAGTTTTCTAACATTGTAGAGGTTCTCGCATGATAAAATTTGGAACATGATCAGTGAAATGAAAGCTTTCCTAAATATTTTGTTTGAACATACCAATGGTCTGCCTCCTCTTTACATTATTGTATTTGTTTTGATCTACTAATTAAGATCTGTAACTTCTAAGAAATCACTTTTCAATGTTGGAAGGCGTTTGAGAAAGTATCTCATGAAAATTTAGGACTCAAAAGTACCAAGAAAAGAAACTGTATTCTGAAACGCTCTTTTTTGTAAACTAAGGATACATATTGGTGTTTCAAAAAACAAGTATCGGCAATCCCATGTGAAAATAAATATGATCAGGTAAGTTGAAGCGATGGATTTTTGCAAAAGAATCACAAAACCTCAAAAGATTAACGCAGGAAAATTTAGTAAATAAAAGTGAAACATAATCCAATTGAATGATAACTACTTAACATAATCATATATTCAACATTTATGCACTTTTATTTTTTATTTTTAAGATTTTTAAGTCAATTAAGATAAATTCATACATACACATCATATATATAAATTTCAAATTCAAAAATCAAAATCTCTTAGTTGATAGACAAAGCTCCCAACCAACAGAAGCGGAAACCAGTTGTGGGGTAACTCTCCTTTGGCAAGCCATTGAGAGAGAGAGAGAGAGAGAGAGAGAGGAATAAAATGGACACAAGTCACACAACCTGTTTTTAACTCTCATCCTTATCTCTCTTCTTGGTGCCCACCTAAATCTTTTGTCAATAAGGAGGTTACCTAAGATTGGCTTGCTTAGTCATATATACTGCATCCCGTATAGTGCAGCTTCTTCAGTGATGGAGATGGGGTAACACCCAATCAAATGGATGGCATGTGCCATGTCTGTGCTCTTGTGAAAGGGATCGGTTGTTATGTGGATACCCTCAATGGAAGGATAGATTATTCTGTGAGGTGTCCGAACGCGTCCGAAGGCTAGTTCAGATCCGCCATGTCATCCAATGCACTATTTATCATATGACCTGACGCGTCCAGATTGACCTGCAGACGTGTGGAAAAAGGCATCAATTCTTTTACTAGCAATAGGCAGACGCTCTATAGAGAAATTATTCTGTGCGAAGACCAATCAGAACATGACACGTCAGCGGTACCGAGCGGCAGCGACCGAGCAACATCGAGCCGCGGTACCGAGCAAGAGGTGACGTGGCGCATTCTAGTTGATCTTTGGATGACGTTCCACGCATATTTGTTGGATCTCTTCGGAAGCTGCAGTACTTTTTTTTTTTGGCTATGCGTTTGCTTTTCTCTTTCCTCTTTCATGCTTGGAAAAAGTAAAAGGGTAAAGACGTGTCTTACGCTATATCTTTGATCATATACTATTTGCATTGCAGTCAGTTTTTTTCTGGTAAAATTTTCAAACCATCCCATGGGGAGGTCACAAAATTTCTTCAGCCAGTAGTGAAGGATTTACAATGGGATTTTGTTTCTTTCTCTTCTTTTGATTTAGGAGCAGGGAGTTAAAGAATCAACGTATGCATGTATCTGCAAAATTATTGTATAACTTTCTGCTTATAATATGTGATGGGACACATAATAGTTATGAAATCATACAACAACAATTTCTTCAGCTGCCGTTTTATGTGATCAAATCATCTAAGACAACTCTCTCTAATCTTATCTTCCACTGGAGGTACTCCAATCTTTTCACGTATATGCTCATTTCATATACTATCTCTAAGGGTAAAGACACTCATGCACTTGAACATCCTCACTCTGCAACACTTAACTTAGTATTATGCTTCTCTTTTAATGGCCATCATTCAGCACAATAAAACATTGCAGGTCTCACCACCATCTTATAGAGTTTTTCCTCAAATTTGAGGGGGACTTTTCTATCACACAACAGAACAGCTGGGATGAAGATCAAAGATTAACATAGATAGACAGAAGAGAAAATTTCATTACCAAAGATGATATTTTTTTTTCTCAAATTATTCCTGTAACCTTCGTCAGACTAGACTGGGTGAAAACCAAAGTGAAGGTCGGCTAAAATAGCATTCCTCTTTACTATGGTAATCAGGAAAAAAATCTATACTGCTGTTGCCGAGGTTGAACACTCCGATGTCAAATTTGTGACCGGAAAACCACCCCGAGTGACTGAAATCATCGTCGGCGAAGTAGATGCAGTTCTCTATGCATCCAGGGTGTTCCCTTGCACGGATTGAGATGGAACGGTTCAATCCCACGAACAGCGACCTATCCCCTAAGCTTGAGACTTCTATCCATTGGTTCCGATGATTGGGATCGACCTTGAAGACCTCAAATCCAGTGGTTTTGACCGCATTGGTGGCATCAAAAAGCCTGATAACCATCATCAGCTCGCCAGCGGAATCCACAAGGTAGCACCTCTCCCTCCATAGGAACGGAATGGGCGAAACGTACCGCATCACCTCGACCAGCCGCGGCCCCGAACTTTCGTCCACCTCGCAAGCGAAAACCCTCTTGAATCTGTCAACGACGAGGAAGCGCCCACCAAAGAAAAGGGCGTCCTGGTAGTTCGGGCTCGAGCCGAACAAAGTCCACTCGTCTGCACCTGGCCGGGTCAGAGCGAGCTGCATTGAGCAACCTAGGATCGCGATCGCAGAGATTTGGCCGGCGGCAACTGGGGACGAGACCACGATTTTGAAGACGAATTCGACGCCGGTGCGACCAAAATGGTGGGGGCAGAGGGGCGGAAGATGGATCTCGGTTCCGGTCAAGGGGTTGAGGAGCGAAGCATCGGAAGTGAACGGATCCTTTCCGCGCATCACGAACCATCCGTTGGCGGATCCGATGAAACGCTTATCACGGCAGGAATTGGGGAGGCATTGCTTCAGGAACCTGGCTTCGGAGACGGATAAAAAAAAGCAGGTCGGGTTGGAGTCGTCGGGGTCGACTGGAGGGAACGCGAGCAAGGGTAAGGAAGGAGGTACTCTTCGGGTCGAGGCGGCGGAGCGCCACGAGGAACAGACGGAACGGAAGCGAATGAAATCAACGAAGGTGGTGAAATGTTCGGAGATGTGGAGAAGGAGATCCCGCGGCAGGACCGACCAGTCAGGCATCCACCGCGGCTCACAAGATGGCATAGTGGGCGGCGATGGCAGGTATCGCCGTAATTGGCCTATCGTCACCGCTATCAAGCAACGGGGAGTGAAACGTCAGGATATTAAAAAATCGGTTTTAATTATTCTGTCCAGAACGCTGTCTTAGGAACTTTTATTTGGTCCGGTGAACATACGTAGGCACAAAAGTCTCAGACACAAAATGAGAAATACTGAACAAATACCAAGCAATATCAATAATAACGAGAAATATCATTATGTGAAAATAAAATACCGAGTAATACCGAGCAATACTGATCAATACCTAGAAAAAACTCTGTATTTTTTGGGATTACTCGATATTTTGCTCGGTATTGATCTTCACAGAGCGGTATTCCTCGTTCTTATCAAACAATACATAGCAATACCGACCAAATACCGAGCAAAAACTGAGTAACAATTCTCTGACCGAATGTAGAGCTACGTTCGGTCAGAGGACGTAATAAAAGTTCCCAGTTCCTCTTCCAGTGTATCCGGGTGAATCCAGGTGAAGTGGCTCGTCTGGATTAGTGTCTGGACGGTCTGATCACCGTATGTAATAATTACTCTAGATCGACCATAATACATCACGCTACTCTTAGTCGATACTATTAGGTACCACAAATTGATATCGCTGACGTGATGATGTCCGGTCTCCACACATAATAATTTCTCAAAAAATCTCGAAGTTACTTCCAAGTTTAAAAATATTTTTTTTTACTCTTTATATTAATATAATTGAGCTAAATCTTAAAAAAAGAAAACTCCAAAACATCATTCATAATAGTTTAAGGCTTCGTTTGGGATGACTTTCTTATTGTTTTTTAAAATAAATTTTTAATATAAAAATTTTAATTTTTTTATCAAAAAAATTGCTTTAAGTAGTAAAAAACCCATGCCAAATAAAGCCTAAGTTTAAATACTATTATTCATTAAGATAAGATAATTAAAATAATTGACTGTAAATCATTAAACTTGAATTAAAATTTGACTCAAATTTAAATTATCTGAGCACAATCGCAAACAATTTTATGACTGATAGCATCTGCATTTTCAACAAATTTGTAAACGAGATGGTACACGAAGAACCCAATAGTATCAAGAACATTTAAATCCAAACAGACCTAAGACGAGCGCATGGAAGCACAATTGGATATTTCTTGATGTTGATTAAGGGATAAGTGTCCAAATTATGTCGATAGCTACTAAAATCCTGAAAATTTATTTCATTGGCATCTCATAATCAAGTTCTCTTCAATGGAAAATGTTATTACAGTTTGTAGATAGCTCAAATAATTACAAAAATATTACCTTTCAATGATGAGGGATAAAGTTCATAGACACAAGGAGTTTGCCAAGAAAAAAAGCAGGGTGAAGATGGAGGCGTGATTGAGGTATTAACCACAGAAACATCTCTCTATGAAGTGTAGTGTTAGCTCAGATGCTTTAAGGTACTTTTCTTCCCAACTTGCTATTCCCTTATAAAATAATATTGATGAATTTGCTTAGCTTTCAATTGAAATTCTTATAGTTTGTATAAATGCTTTGGACACCGCTTAAACATCAATGAGAGCAGCTCAACAATCAGTCAAAACAAGAGAAGATTCTCTAAGAAAATCAAAGTTGCCTTCAGGATCTACAAAATGTTATTCCTTTCTTTTTTTAGGGGTGTCAATTCGGATCAACGGGTCAGGTTTGGATCGAACCCGAAACTAACCCAATGCTATATGACACGACCCGAACCTGACTCGTTTTAGCAAATGGGTCAGAACGGGCTGGCACGACCCGACACGATAGTTGAAACGGCGTTAGTGCATGCATCGTCGCTTCCGGTTTGGGTCGAAACGTTACGAGTCGTCGCTCCCGGCGAGCTCCCTCTCCTATCATCATCTTTGCTTCATATCTAACTACAAAATGATGACAGGTGAGCTCCCTGTCGTCGTTTTCATTGCTTCTGATCTCCTTGCCGTCGAGAACGGCGAGCTCCCGCAAAATTACTACAAAACAACGGAGCTACAGATGAACTGCGAGCTCCTCAGCTCCCAACTTTCGTTGCTTCCGATCCAATTGCAAAGAACCGAGAATGCAGACGACGGACGTGACGGACTGACGTTAACGCGGACGTGACGGACTGCTCAAACTGAGCAACTCGACGTGTCGGGCAACGCCACAGTGGGTCACTTTGCGGGCAGGGTGGGCAGCAGACACAGGCAAAACCATTTCGTGTCAAACCGGGTCAGATATTCAAACCGAACCGACCAGTTTACTAAGCGAGTTGACTCGAACCTGGATTTTTCCAGATCGGGTTCGGGTCGTGTTTCGGATCTTGTCAAAATTTGACACCCCTACTTTTTTTTATTATTATTGTTCAAGACATCGCCAATGGCAGCTCTTATTAGTCGCTAGGATCAACCATGATCCTAATCGGCCTGCAGGTTAGCCTAGGGGATATCCAAACACATTTTGATCATGGGCGGGCACAATCTACGCCATTCACTGTTAACAACTACGAGGAATATTCTAGATTCATTTAAAAAATGATTAGAATGGTACTTTCAAAATATATATTACACACTCATTCTAGCATATTTGGTATAATATAGCATTTTTCATGCTTGAAGGAGCTGGATCCTTAAGAAAATCCTACAAACCACCATCACCAAAGAGGTAGGAATTTCAAAGTTTAAAGGAACTAGAATTCTTTGAAAACCCCCATGAAGTGCTATCATTGATGGATCAGGATTTTTCAAGCTTAGAAGTTCCCATATCTGAGGTGAAAACTCGTAATTTGTCGCCATTGAGTCGTAGGATTTTCCAAGATAAAAAAGATCTTAAATCATTGGGTTAATCCTAGAAGCAATTATTTTCAATTCATTCCTACATTGAAACTTTGCTTGTAGCATAATAGCCACTATAAACTTTTCACTACAACCTTTTATGTGTCACAATTATTTTCGTCCAAACCCATATCACAACCTCATTGCATTACAACCCTTCACCATAACCCTACTTTTGCTATAGCCATCTCCTTCAAGACTCACACTATAACCTCACTTGCATCACAATTGTCTTCTCCAAGATTTACTTCACAACCTTCTTGTGCCATTGTCAATGCTACTTCCAAACTTGTGTTGCAACCTCTCTTGCACCATATATATCTCTCTTTCATGACCTTTGTTGCAACCCTATTTGGGTTGTAGTTATTATGATATCCAAACTTATTTCATAACCTTGCTTGCATCATAATCATCTAATTCAAGGCTTAGATCATCGCGATCTTGCCTCAAGGCCTACACACCATCATCGTTTCTAGTGAGACCTATGCCATAACTATCTCTAGACTTAAGACCAAAGATATCTTTAGTTACGATTACATTACAATTACTCTATTGGCAGTATCATCGCATGCATCGATATTATTCACAACCTAAGGGTGTAAGGATCTACCTTGGTGCTCTCCACTTTGCATGATTTTTTTTTTTAAATTTCTCTATTAGTATCTTGTACTAAAGTCAATGTTGCTCAACTAAGTTGGGTCTCATGATTTTTTTTTCTCTTTCTTAATTTTTCACAAAAAAAGGAAAAAAATCTTCATTTCTCACTCTCTATTTTACTTGATGCTCAGTTTGATATCAAAACAGCTAAGGTGATTAAGATTGATCCTTACTATATGAGCTTGATTTTTCACAAAAAATAAAATCATAAATATTTAAAATGCTTATCAATGGACAAATTATTTATATGCATCTCTGAAGATTGATCCAGAAACACATTGAAAAAATATGGGCAAAGAAAGTACTAACTTTATAGTAGTTAGGTTTGCAGTTTTTATATTCTAAATATTTGACTATAGATTGAAATGCATTAGAGATGGTATCAAGTTAAGTACTATTGAGCCAACCCAGACTCAAACTCAAAAAATTTGATTATTGCTCGAGTTGAGCGAGTAAGTTTAATTTCAAGTTTATTCACACCACTTCTCTTAATTTTTAAAACTGAGAAGTTAAAAATTGGCCTCTTAACTACCCAAGGTTTTTTCTATCTTCATAATATTCATCTTGTACAAATACTACAAAATGGGAGATTTAATACAGATAGCTTTTTCCTAATTTTCCTATTTTCTGACGATGTTTATCTTGAGGTATCATTTTTTACTTTTCTCCTTTTCTTCAGATTCTTCCTTAGCTTTTGATGTTTCTTCGTCTTAACTTCTAGATTTTAGGTTTACTCAGCATGAGCTTCCTGCTTGTAAGACAGTGCTTATACCATCAATTGTAAGACATTCCCTTGTAGCATATTATTTTTATGCTAGTTATTTGCAACAAACACATTTAGGAATAGGTTCATAATCCTTAGTAATGTCAAGGCACTTAAAAATTTTATGAGCGTCTAGCTCCGATTTTTATTGGAAAACTTTTGAATCCCTTAGAGCCTGTTGGCTTCTACCAAAGTGTGAATTATGGTGTCAAATTGGAAAATATGTCCTGAGTTTCAACCTTTTATAATGTGTCTTCTTGACTAAACATGATCATCAGATTCTAGGAGCAAAATAGTTCAAAATTCTGATGTATTTGATATCTTTATCTTTCTATTTTCTGATTCTGCAACTCTTGTATGTTTCACTTTGGCCATACTTTGGTTCACTTTTGATTTTTTTTGGCTTAATTGGATTATTTGGGTTGCTATTGATGGCCAAGTGTGAATGGCCATTCTTTGGAGGAAAAGGTTAGAGCTGAGCCCTTCTCATTAATACATAATAGAAGAAAATTTTACAAAAGCATATTAAAATATGTGGAAAATGCACAAAGCCTTGGGGACAAGAGATACTAGATGAATTTGGTAGGAGTGTCCTTTGGTTAATACCTAGAGGTCCAAGTTTATCATATTTTCTTCTGTAATTTCAATTTTTTTCTTCTTGCAAGAGTATATCCACATCTGCTTTGTTAATTAGCTTCACATGTTAATAAGTATGGATGAGCTCTTACATGAAAATTTTCAAAGCATTTTATTGATTAGTATGATCCTTTGATTTTTGTAGCCTAAGCATGCTTGAACTTCCTCTCAAGCAACTTTGCTGTAAAAAATGTCACCTAAGAATCTTTTATCTTCTCGACAAGAGCTAGAGACTCTTCTTACTAAAAAAATGCAATACTTTTAAAAGTCACTACATTAATAAGAGTATATATTTTTGATAATCCTGGGCCTA